GTTCGGTTTCTGGAGTTCGCTTTTATTGTGTTGTTCGTCGGGCTGTATATTGCTTCTTATTTAAGTGTTGTTGTTGTGTTGTCGTTGTTGCGTTACGGGGCACACTGGGGGGTGGGGTTCTTTTTTTTTTTATTGCGTTGACGTTGGGTTGTGTTGTTGGTTAACAGCCGGGCCGGCTGCAAGCTATGTGAGAGGGGGTGATGTAGTGGTGATACGCGCTGGGATTAGGGATCGTATGCCAGCGCGTAATGATTGGCTGTGTATGTGGTGACGCGCGCTGACGGTGGAGGATCAGGGGTCAGCGCGGGGTCGTGGGTTACGGGGTGCTGATTGGCTGTGTGCCGGTGACGCGCTGAGAGGGAGTGATCAGGTGACAGCGCGGTGTGATTGGTGGAGTAGTGTTAACACGCGCTGGGGGAAAACGGATCGTAGAGAGAGCGCGTCGTGATTGGTTAACTAAGGAGCGATGCTCACGTAGACGTCCGCATCAGCTCCGTCTCCCGTGAGCAGGGGCTATAAAAGGGGATGCACACAGGCGTAAGGGCAGTATGTAACCAGCGAAGAATGAAGACGGGGATCGAAGAGATAGGGCCCTGCGGTACCTAGTCCCGCTGTCCTAACGGGACCGGGACTCTGTGTAACCCAGAGGCGAGTGTATTGTGTGTAGCCATAGGCATAGGGTCTACACGAGCCGAATGCATTGTGTGTAGCCAGAGGCATAGGGTCTACACGAGTCAAGTGTATTGTGTGTAGCCAGAGGCATAGGGTCTACACGAGTCAAGTGTATTGTGTGTAGCCAGAGGCATAGGGTCTACACGAGTCAAGTGTATTGTGTGTAGCCAGAGGCATAGAGTCTACACGAGTTAAGTGGAGTGTATAGTACAAAGAATAGAGACCACACGTTGTATTGTGACACGTCAAGATTTAATAAAAGTGTGTTACCCGTCAAGAAGTTCCTGCCGTCATTTCCAATACTTCACTAGTACAGCACTAACCGGTGTGGTGGAGAGCAAAGCCACGACATTTACAATCTGAGTACGACGTTTCGCCAGTAATTACAACCAGCTTCATCAGGCGACAGCCAGATTTGTGGAGAAGTCCACCTGTTTCATTCCTTATATAGAGGCGTAGATGTGGCAGGGGGGGGGGGGATAACTGAGTCAGCGTATATTGTGCATTGTGCAATATGCGAGCCCTTTTACTTGTCCTCCAGGTACAGTAAGCTCTGCGTTTCAGTTTCGTAGGGATGTGTGAGTCCCAGAGCCACAATGTGCATGGAGGGTGGTTGAGACAGGTTTTTTTTGGGGGGGGGGGGGGAGGCGAAGAATAACATAACCTCGGTCTTTTTTATTATTGAGGAGCAGTTTTAGGAAAGTACTTTCAAGATTATTAAAGTGCTGTTGTGGATGCTGTTGTGTGTACATGTGTTGAACTTCTTTTGCACCACCGTACGTAGCCAATAGTGTGAATCTGTGGGTCGCTGTGGGCCGCTATGGGTGTCTCTTTGGGTCTGGACGTGTGTGGGTTTCTGTGTATGCATGTATGTTTAACTTCTTTAACACGGTACGTAACCAATCGGGCTCATCGGTGGGTCTCTGTGGGTCTCTATGGGTGTCTATATGGGTCTCTATGGGTCTGGGTGTCTGTGGGTCTTTGTATGTATGGTGAACTTTTTTCGCAACACCGTACGTAGCCAACCGTGCTAATCTGTGGGTCTCTGTGGATGTCTATGGCTGTCTCTATGGGTCAGGGTGTCTGTGGGTCTCTGTATGTACGTTGAACTTATTTCGTACCACCGTACGTAGCCAACCGTGCTTAATCGGCGGCCATCTAGGTCTGTGTTCGTCAGCAGTAACATTATTGTCAGAGTGCAGGTCGGAAAAGCCCACAGTGTTGACGTGGAGAGGAAAGAGGATGGGGCCAAGCAACAGAGAGACCAGAGGAACTCTCTAAGTAGTAGGCGGGGGGTCCTGTCAGACGATGCTTTATTGATGGGAAGAAACATTTGAAATCGGTCCGATGAGTTCATTGTTTGTAGACATTTTGGATGTTGCAACATCATAACCCACATTGTCACGCGCTGTAGACGAGTCAAGGGATGGGATGGCGCAGTGAGTCGGCAAGATTCAGGGCGCCGCAGTGGCTAGGAGATGTTAACTATCTCGCCTGGTATACAGGAGGTCGTGGGTTCGATCTCAACCCTGACAACTGCTGTATATTTGGAGTTTGCGTGTCTCTCTCCCCGTGGTCATGTGTTTAAAGTATATGGCCGCTATACATTTCCACGTGATAAGCCGCTCCATTGAGCTAATCATTTGTGATGACCAGGCCACTTCCAAAAAAGAGCTATAAAGCTCAGTGAGGCCTTAACCCGTAAAATATGAATAGTAGTAGGAGAAGAAACCGTTGAAGTCAAGTCAAGAGTTTTGAAGCTGTGCTCTATTTTTCTCGAGCACCAGATCGCTTCGGATGGAACAGGGCATGGTCTGAGATGCTATTTGTGATTTTTAAGATCTTCTCAAATATCTTGATTACGGGGAGAGGGCAGAGATAGGGCTGTAAATGCTGGGGTTGTCTGTAGCGCAACCTTCATGACGGAGGGCGCACGAGGGTCGTTTTCCCATTCGGGAGAGATGGATGCCTCGAGAATGGAAAGGCACCATGGCGGGTGGAGATGCAATCAGAGCACCGCCTCCCCCAACCTTCGCACAAATGGGGGCCACCAGGGGCATCCCACATCCAATCTTGCAGAATCCAATCCATCCTGTGGACCAGGCTGCTGCAATGATGCCACAACAGGCAGCCTGCACATTAACGCCACCCTCCCTCAACAGTTCACTTGATGAGTCATATCTGCTTGCCGCTTAGCTGGAACTCCAGATTGCCCTGCATACTTCAACAGCCATCCACTCACATGGGATTAGCTACTTGCTCCTAAATTTGAGGGCCTGCAGGAACCAGCAGGGTCACATCCCCACCTTGCCCCATGATGTTATCTGGGCTGAGGGATTTCCCCCTCCCAAGACCTCACAGAAATGCTCGGCAAACCTGAAGACCAGTTCCTGGGGGCGGATCACCGTTTTTCCCTGAAGGGTGGTGATATGTGTGGCTCTGCAAGATACTTTTTTTGACAGAGTTAAAGAGTGATTTGTGATCGCACGCAACCGAGGCAAATTCCATCTTCTCGGCAACCCGCTCATCCTTGCAGCGCCGCACGGTTTTTCCGAACCTCCGAACGAAGGCCACGGTAAAGATTATTGTCGGACGTGGGATGCTGTAACCCGTGGCAGTGGGTTTGTTGCTTTCTCTCAGCCAGCTGGAACATCTCATGTTGTCAGCCAAGGAGGTCTGGACCATGTCCCCAATGCTGACATTGCCACCACATGAGCCACAAACCTGAACCTCCCCCATGTCCCCTCGGTATCAGGAGGAGGTGGGATGGGACAATACCAACACCAGCCAGAAGCGACAATTAAATTCTTGCTCGCAACTTTCATCAGCTAGCCGAGACCAGGCCATTGTGGGCTTGAATGCGATCCTTAGGTGGACACCCACCATCGCAGTGGAAGAATAGCAGGCGCATCTGACAGATGACAGCTCCACGGTAGGTCCTGGTGTCAAAAACATGGGCCCGCATATGCTGTTCTGTCACTATGTAGTCCAGCAGATGTTCTTGCTTGGACCCGGCGTGCATCCATGATTTGTGGTGGATGCGCTGATGCCGGAACAGCGTGGTTGGTGATTACAAGCCCATGGGCTGCACAGAAGTCTAGCAGCCTCCGACCCTTGTTATTGAGCTGATCTGGCCCATGCCTTCCAATCGCTCCAGCTCAGCTGCCAACATCATGACCAACTCGGGCATTAAAGTCACCCAATAGGATGACTCTATCCCAAGAGGCCACTTTAGCGAGGATCTGGGGAAAGGAGGTTATAGAAGGCATCGAACTCATTGGCTGTATCTGCATCCCTCACACAGTCACAACAACAGCCGCCTTTCACCACTAAGCGGTAGTGACGTCACCGCGGCGCTTGTGCCAGGCTAGGTGCACACAAAAATAGATTCCCCATATAGCCTGAACAGACTGTTGGGGCGAGCGCTGTTAGCGAGTAGCAGCACCTGTGAAGGCCACGTGGTATTGGTAGCCAATACCACGCTCAACCGCCTTTGTCTCCCGAGTGGCGATTTTCCACACCGCACCAGCTAAACATGAGGCTGAGTTGACCTAGAGGAGCCCCAGGACTGGTGGCCGTGGGCAGGAATCGAACTCGGGCGATCAGCACGAACCGCTCCGCACACTCACAACCCAAACTCACAACGACACACACGTACAGAGCAAAGATCCCCCAAATAACCTTAACTGACCGATGGGGCAAGTGCTGTGAGCGAGTAGCACCGATGACACACGAGGAGGTGGGTGGCCAGCACCACGCCCGACTGCCTTTGTCTCCCCAGTGGCGATGCTTGCTGCAGCACCACGCCGAGTACTCATTTGAGGCTGAGTCGACCAAGGGGAGGCCCAGGACTGGTTCAGATAATCGTCGCTGATGTTGGCGGGAATCGAACTCGGATAGCCGTGTTCGTAGCGAAGCGCAGCGCTAGCCGCTGCACCACCGCTCCACACACACAGACAAAGATCCCCCGTGTAGCCTGCGACAGACTGGTGGGGCAAGTGGCGGTGAGCGAGCGGCAGCAGCAGCGCCTGTGCAGGCCGGGCACTGTGGCACACGAGCGGGTGGGCGGGCAGCACCACGCCCGGCCGCCTTTGTCTCTCTGCTTGCAATGTTTACACCACACACACACACACATCGCTTACACACCGCCGTCACACGCCCTCTCACACACACACTCTCTGACACACGCAAAATACAAGGATTCCCCGTATAGCCTGCACGCACTGTTGGGGTAAGTGCTGTTAGTGAGCACCTATCACAGAGACCAGGAGTTGGTGGTGAGGAGATGGCGGTGGTGAGGTGGCGGATGGTGAGGGAGCGTCACTCACCAGAGATCCCAGCTCCGACCACGACCACATCGTAGCGCTGGGGAGCTGACATGATGGGGATGGTGAATGGCTGCTGATGCTGAGTCGTGGTGGTGGTGTCGAGTGAAGCCGTCTGCTCCTCGTCCGCCTGTCACGAGCGCCGCGGCTCTCGTCAGGGGCAGCTGCCCCCTCCTCCCCCCCTCCCACTCTCCCTCCCTCTCACACTCTCCCCACGCACCCTCCCTCTCACACCCTCCCCACGCACCCTCCCTCTCACACTCTCCCCACGCACCCTCCCTCTCACACCCTCCCCACTCTCCCTCCCTCCCCACTCTCCCTCCCTCCCCACTCTCCCTCCCTCCCCACTCTCCCTCCCTCTCACACTCTCCCCACGCACCCTCCCTCTCACACCCTCCCCACTCTCCCTCCCTCCCCACTCTCCCTCCCTCTCACACTCTCCCCACGCACCCTCTCTCTCACACCCTCCCCACTCTCCCTCCCTCCCCACTCTCCCTCCCTCTCACACTCTCCCCTCTCACACTCTCCCACTCTCCCTCCCTCCCCACTCTCACACTCTCCCTCCCTCCCCACTCTCCCTCCCTCTCACACTCTCCCCCTCTCACACTCTCCCCACGCACCCTCCCTCTCACACCCTCCCCACTCTCCCTCCCTCCCCACTCTCCCTCCCTCTCACACTCTCCCCCTCTCACACTCTCTCCACGCACCCTCCCTCTCACACCCTCCCCACTCTCCCTCCCTCCCCACTCTCCCTCCCTCCCCACTCTCCCTCCCTCTCACACCCTCCCCACTCTCCCTCCCTCCCCACTCTCCCTCCCTCCCCACTCTCCCTCCCTCTCACACCCTCCCCACTCTCCCTCCCTCCCCACTCTCCCTCCCTCTCACACTCTCCCCACGCACCCTCCCTCTCACACTCTCTCCACGCACCCTCCCTCTCACACCCTCCCCACTCTCCCTCCCTCCCCACTCTCCCTCCCTCTCACACTCTCCCCTCTCACACTCTCCCACTCTCCCTCCCTCCCCACTCTCACACTCTCCCTCCCTCCCCACTCTCCCTCCCTCTCACACTCTCCCCCTCTCACACTCTCCCCACGCACCCTCCCTCTCACACCCTCCCCACTCTCCCTCCCTCCCCACTCTCCCTCCCTCCCCACTCTCCCTCCCTCTCACACTCTCCCCACGCACCCTCCCTCCCCACTCTCCCTCCCTCTCACACCCTCCCCACTCTCCCTCCCTCCCCACTCTCCCTCCCTCCCCACTCTCCCTCCCTCTCACACTCTCCCCACACACCCTCCCTCTCACACCCTCCCCACTCTCCCTCCCTCCCCACTCTCCCTCCCTCTCACACTCTCCCCCTCTCACACTCTCTCCACGCACCCTCCCTCTCACACCCTCCCCACTCTCCCTCCCTCCCCACTCTCCCTCCCTTTATCACACTCTCCCCTCTCCCACTCTCCCACTCTCCCTCCCTCCCCACTCTCACACTCTCCCTCCCTCCCCACTCTCCCTCCCTCTCACACTCTCCCCACACTCACACTCTCCCCCCTCCTCCCTTTCACACTCTCCCCCGTCCCCACTCTCACGTGAGGGAGGGAGTGGAGGGGGAGAGTGGGTGAGGGGAGAGTTGGTGAGGGAGGGAGTGAGTGGAGGGGAGAGTGAGTGAGTCAGGGAGGGAGAGAATGTAGGGGGAGAGTGGGCGAGGGAGGGCGTGCAGAGGGGGTGAGTCAGGTAAATAGTGGAGGGGGAGAGGGAGACAGTGGAGGGGAGTGAGGGTGAGGGAGGAAGAGAGTGGAAGTGGAGAGTGTATGAGTGATGGGGAAAGTGCAGAGGAGAGTTGGTAAGTGAGAGAGTGGAGGGAAGAGTGGGTGAGTGATGGAGAGAGGGGAAAGTTGGTGAGAGAGGGAGAGTGGTGGGAGAGAGTCTTGAGTGATGGAGAGGAGAGTGGGTGAGTGGCGTAGTGGCGAGTGGGTGAGTGAGGGACAGAGTGGAAGAGACAGTGGGTGAGTGAGGGACAGAGTGGAGGGGAGAGTGGGTGAGTGGCGTAGTGGAGAGTGGGTGAGTGAGGGACAGAGTGTAAGAGACAGTGGGTGAGTGAGGGACAGAGTGGAGTGGAATAGTGGATGAGTGAGCAAGGGAGTGGAGGGAGAGTTGGTGAGGGAGGGAGACAGTGGAGGGGAGAGTGAGTTAGCGAGTGAGAACGTGTAGTGGGTGACAGAGTGGAGGAGAGTCGATGAGGAAGGGAGTTGAGTGAGGGAGAGGGTGCAGGGCAGAGTTGATGAGGGAGATAGTGGAGGGGGAGAGAGGGTGACTGAGGGAGAAATTGAAGGGGAGAGTGCATGAATGAATGAGGGAGTGGATGAGACAGTGGGTTAGTGAGGGAAAGAGTGGAGGGGAGCTTGAGCGAAAAAGGGAGAGTGGGTGAGGAAGGGGAAGATTGGTTAAGAGGAAGAGACAATGGAAGGGAGAGTGGGTGAGTGAGGGAGATAGTGGAGGGGGGAGTGAGCGATCGAGTGGAGTGGAATAGTGGATAAGTGAGTAAGGGAGACAGTGGAGGGGAGAGTTGGTGAGGGAAGAGAGAGTGGAGAGGGGAGAATGGGTTCGTGAGGGAGAGAGTAGAGAGGATAGGGGGTGAGTGAGGGGGAGATTGGGCTAAAGAGGAAGAAAGTGGAGGGGTGAATAGTTAGTGAGGGGGCGAGTTGGTGAGTGAGAAAGTAGAGGGGGGAAATGGGAGAGCGGGGGGAAGAGTGGGTGAGTGGAGGGGAGAGTGGGCAAGAGAGCGATCGAGTGGAGTGGAATAGTGGATGAGTGAGAGAGTGGACGGAGAGTTAGTGAGGGGGGGGGGGGCGAGAGTGGAGGGGAGAGTGGTTTATTGAGGAACTAGCGGTAAGTACCCGGCGTTGCTCGGGCGAAAAAGGCAGACACACACATGGACTTACACACAGACATTGACCCACACACATAATCGTTATCAGGCCAGCCTAAATGTTTCTAACCGGCGAAGATGTTCCATTAGGGGGGTGCACGTTTCGCAAGCGTAGATGTGGCACATTAGGAATGGATCACTCTTTTAAGTATGTCCTTGTGCAGCAAGGGAGTAAAGTGTGGTTCTGTGAAGGTCCTGATGTGCTGTGCAGTGCATCAATGCATGTGTGTACAGCAGCATGTGATGACTGAGTCGGGCCTGTAGGTGGCTGGCAGGGTTAATGAAACACGTTCCTTCGGAGTGGGCAGGTAGGAACTTGGTTGGACAGCGCATTCGTGCACGACAGACAGACAAATAATCCCTGGTGGGCAGTGTGGAACCTGTTGTTCCTACCTGTATGTATAAAATATAACTTGACTTTAGATAGCCAGGCAGACAGCCCCCTGAACTATCGCCCCCCCCTCCCTTAGGCCCCTCCCCCCTTAGGCCCCTCCCCTGACCCTCTTTCCCTTAGGCCCCTCCCCTGACCACCCCCCCCATATCCTCAGGCCCCTCCCCTGACCCCCCGTCCCTTAGGCCCCTCCCCTAATCTCCCTTCTGTTAGGCCCCTCCCCTGAGCACCCCGCCCCCATATCCTTAAGCCCCTCCCCTGACCCCCCCTCCCTCAGGCCCCTCCGCTGACCCCCCCCTCAGGCCCCTCCCCTGCCCCCCCCCCTCAGGCCCCTCTCCTGACTCCCCCCTTCCTTAGGCCCCTCCCCTGACCCTACTCCCTTAGGCACCTCCCCTCTCCGTACCCGGCAGTAGGTCTCCACCAATCAAAGAGCTGTTTACCTGACTCCCCCCTTCCTTAGGCCCCTCACTTACCGTAAGGGGTTGCGCCACACCAACGCGGATGCCCTGTCGCGGTTGTCGCCTCGTTCCGAATGTGCGTGTTTTCTGGGGTCGGCGCGCTGTAAGCCGCATGTCGCTGTCCCCGGGGGAGAGTTGGTCGCTGCCACCAATGCGCCGCGGGTCGACGTTCCCGCTACTCCTACGGGCGGGGACTCGCTACTTTCGTTGCCTCTCGTTGAGTGGGGCCGACTCCAGATGGCTGACAGCTCCCTACTTGCGTTGCGTCGTAGGGCAGGGGGTCCCGAGGAAGGGCAGAAGGGAACCAGCTCCTGGGTGCTTAAACAGGGCCTACTCATGAGGTGGGACAGTATGTCCCGGCGACACGCGCTTGTCGTGCCGTCTGCTATGCGGGGCAGAGTTGTTCTGGCCGCACACGAACGCCTCTTGCATCTGGGAGTTAACAAAACGCTCGCTCTGCTCCAGCGGGACTATTATTGGCCGGGGATGGGGAGCGATGTGGTCAACATACTAAAGGGGTGTGTAGGGTGCGCTCAACGTAAACCACCGCCCGTTGCGGCTAATCCACCGCTACAGTTCATTCAAGTGTCGCGCACGAATGAGCTCGTTGCACTGGATATCTTGGGGCCTTTTCCGGTGACGCCTAGGGGTAACAAGTACCTGCTGGTTGGTGTGGAATACTCCACTCGATGGCCCATGGCATGGCCGCTTGCCAACCAGTCGGCAGCGGCCGTGGCAGACGCCTTTGTCCAGGGCTATGTCTTGGACAAAGGTGCTCCCGAACGCTTGCTGACCGACCAGGGAAAGAATTTTGAGCAATTTACTGCATGAGGTGTGCGACCTTTTGGGTACAAAAAAAGTGCGTACCTCCCCGTACCACCCACAGACTGATGGGATGGTGGAGCGACTCCACAGAACGATTACTTCCATGTTGTGCCAACAGGTATGCGAGGCACAGGTTGACTGGGACTTGCAGGTCCCTGGTGTCCTCGCCGCGTACAGGATGGCCCCCCATGCGGCTACGGGGTTTTCCCCATTTTATCTGATGTACGGTCGGGAGGCCGATCCGCCCATGGAGACCCAGCTGGGGATTCCCGAGCCGCGGCCTAGATCTAAGTTGGCCGACCATATTAAATTTAACATAGCGAAACTGGCCGAGGCACGGGAGGCTGCAAGGCTGAATTCGAGGTCTCGCCAAATCGCTAACGAGCGGTTGCGTGCACGAAAGGTGTACGTGCACGAATGGAAACCGGGCGATAGGGCCTGGCTGCACTGCCCGCATGCGCCGTTGGCTACATCCCTTAAACTACTGAGGCCATGGCGGGGACCCGTGGAAGTCGTGCGGGTTGCACGACCCCAGTGCGTTCAGATAAAATGGGGAAAGCGCTGTTGGTACGTT